TAGTAACTGCATGTCTTGTCAAATACCTGATATAGCAGTTTTATAGTATTATATCCTATCAGATTTCTTTGGTCTCAATCATACTGGGATTAAGGGTTACTCAATGTAATGTGCTGATTACATGTATTTGTGATGAGGGTGTTTTATTAAGTAGAGAGGATTGGTTATCACAGTGAAGTAATCTCCATCTGTTGATGTTTATAACACCTATACTTGTTACAGATTATAATGAGAACACCAGAACTGTTTTCTTTGGAATCTATGTATACCATAAAATTACTATTCTTAATAATTATGTAAAATTTCCAGAGAATGACAGTCAACAAGTTATAGTAGAGGCAGTTGTTCTATTTTAGTTTTCTTTATAAAAATATACCCATGTATATGTACATATATAAACCAATAAATAAGTTAATTTGAATATATTCAAATATTTTTTTTAATTAAACATTAGTTCAGGACATGAAATACAAATCCTGAAGTGCTAACTTCACATTAACATATAAACATATTTATTTCCAACATTATGTCTTCCAAGTACCACACTTGTGCTGTGAGCAGTTGTCTACACAACAAAATTGTTTCCTTGTTAGATGAAGCAATTCTGCCATATCAGATGAATACTCTATTTATATGATTTTAAAGTGGTTATTAAAAGCATGTATAATAATAAAAAAAGATGTGTGAAGCTTGAAGGTTTCTTGATATTTTTTTATTTATACTATACTGCACTAAACATGTACTTAGACAATTTTAGCATTACTGCCTTATTCAACACTTGAAGTTTTACAGTAATATCATTATATATACAAGGGCCATTCAAATTATAATGCAACTGGATACAAAAAAATGTGATGCAACCTAGATTAATTCAATTAATTTATTTCATTAATTTTTCAAAATATATCCCATTTACTTTTTTTTTACACACCAAATCTTTTTATCCAATACCAGGAGGTATCGGCATACTCATTCAAAGTTACTGATGAACATCACTTCCAAGGGCCCATCTGGTTACAATGTCTTCCAGATAGCATTTTCTTTATGTTTTGGGAAGTGAAATAAAATCACATGGACTCAGATCTGGCAAATATGATGGGTGTTGTAACTCTATAATATTTGTAGGGGTTATTGTACGAGAAGCGCTCCATTCCTTGAAGGCCCCAAAGGGGTTGGAATAGAGTGCTAAAAGTATTGACCTGCTTAAAATCCACTGTTTTAAATGCCTATAATGCCTAAGAGTATGGCAATGCAAGTGTTTTGTAGTTATTTAAATCCACAATCCTTCTACGACTTCAGTAGCGTAGTGTGATGAGTGTTCTAATAGGACAGAGAAGGGACCAGGTTGGACTCCCCAGGAATGCTACACTTTTTCTTAATATGAAAATACAACTATATAAAATTTTTCAGTTCTTGCTTCCCCTCTTCTTCCTCTCTCACAGAGGTATGGGAAGGCGAATATGTATATAACAAACACTGTTTTCAACACAAATTGCAACTCTCCAGTCCTGAAAAGTTATGGAGCATTCGAAGAAAAGAGTGGTGTCATAAGTGGATTTTAACTACCTTAAAAAAAACTTTTTAAGGACATACGCACCGTACCTTACCTACTGATAATTTTTCAAGATATTCTTAATTTAAAATTATAGTGTCATCAGATGTTCATAGACAAAAAATCAGCATGCATTACCAGGGGTTTTGAAAAGATATTAATTAATTAAAATTCTTGCATAATTCAAAGAAAAATATACAAAAATTACGAAACATACATTCTAGATGTTTTGTTTATCGAAACTTGTTTTAGAGGAAATGTACAACAGCATATTTAGACATTAAAATGTAGCACACAGTTCCTTTAAGCACTGGAACTCTTCAACTCTAGGGAAAAAGACAATAAAGTTCAAACTATGTTGTGTATGTCCTTAACATATCTATGTATGTGCACAGAAGCATTGCCATGAAATTTAATTTCTATTAATAACAAAGTGATGTAATAAGTAGTTAACCTGTGTTCAGTATATGCTTCATGTACTAGATGTATGTATATGTACATGCTGTATTGAGACCATGTAGTATATTTGACTGTAGTTACTTTTGAGACAGAAGTCTATCTGTCTGCCTGTCTGTCTATTGCTAAATGTAACTTAGACTTATTGTTGTGCATCATTTATTTCAGCTTTTCTGACAATACTGGTTCATTTTTGACCAAATTCTATACATCTTTGCAGCATCCATGAGAAGTTCTTTAAACACTCTCAAACTTGCTTCAGATGCTGGATTTGATTTACATTTTCTGAATGAGTGACTAATTTAAAGTTTCTAGATAAGTCCATTCCCAAGTAAATGCAAGCCCTATCAGACCAAAATTGTGTAAATGTTGCAACCAGGGATACACACTACTAGATTATTAGTTTAGTGTGGGACTTTGTCTTACTTAAAGACAACATTCGTTGAGGTGAGCTCTGTAATCTCTGATTACCTATGTTTAAGGATATTTTGATATTAAGTTTGGTTCCATACTTCACAAAGAAAGAATGGATAAGAGAGAAAAAATCTGAAATTACAAGCATCATAGCTACAGGTTAGTAATTGGTATTACTCCCACTGCTAGCTATCTTGCTTTTGAAGCTGGAGATCCAGAGCCCGCTCTAATCTTTTATTATTAGTACCATTAGCTCCAATAAGTATACGGGGATTGTAAAAGTATAGGGACTTATTAGAGCTGCCTGTCTGTAAATGATTTAAAGGGGTGGTGTACATGGAATATCTTTTAGTACTAAGCTAAATCTTGCTTGATTTTACTTATATGATTTTCAAAGTCAGATTTCAGAATTAGTGACCAGGAAAGGCATTTATAGGGGCAACAAAATAGGAAATATTGGTATAGAGTTGCACCACTCTCTGCAAGTTATTTGATTTGAGGGGTTAGGGGTGTATTAAATTCTAAATATAATTGTTAAAATATGTTTTGAAAGCTTATTCATAATTGAAAATATAGTTTAATACATTGCTATGGTTTTATAATGTATAAGGGGAAAAAAAGAAAATTTAAACAGGCTACACATGTACAGAGTTTTCCTCATCTGAAAATTTAACCATGGAGGAAGCTGCACAAAAGCGAATTAAAAACAAAAGCACAAGTCAATGCCCGTTTGAGTCCCTCTTGATTTCAAAATCAATGTTTGATTTCACAGATTAATTTATTTATGGCTACAAAAGTAGTTGAAATTTTTTGAGAAAGCAATATACTGTTTGATGTATCATAGTGAATTTCGAAATATACCAAGTTTATTGAAATTGGACCAAAACTAGGAGGATAAGCGTTTTGAAAAAAATTCACAGAACTTTTCCCTAATTTTTAGTAACCATGGTAACAATATTAAAAAAAACCTTTTTTACAGAATGGTTGATTCTATAAAACAGCTTGCTTTACCATGGCACACAAAAATTTAACCATGGCGGGGTGCCATGATAAAACCCATTGTGAAGAACCCTGCTGTAGTTGTTTGACATGAGCATTGTCCTTTCTTTCACTGTTATAATCAAGGTGAAGATATTTCGGCAAGTTTGCCCACGGATGATAAATAAAATACGAAATCACCCGTGGGTATCCTAAAGTGGCCAAACATGGTCACAAAGCTTCAAAGAAATTACAGAGAACACATTTATCAAACTTTACATAAATTCTTCAAATAATGAACTTTCGGTAGTAAGTGCCCCAACAATAATTGTGATTTAAATTCAGTCTTAATTATATTACAGTTATGGTATATGGTGAATTTACAGCAAAAAAAAAAAATGTAGAAAGTGTGAAATTGCTTAACCCAGCGAGTGACCCTATATACACAAGAGAAGTTTCTGGAATTCATCGATATCTGGAATTCGATTGACATAAACCTGTTATGATATGAAGCTTTATTGCCACTGGTGTTTTATTTTCACTTCTTCACAATGGGACAACGTCATAGATTTTATGCCTTAAAATAAAAGTAACTCAGACAAGTGATGGATTTTGATCAAATTTTCCACATATTCAAAATTGAGATGAGTGGATTTGGTTTTTGACTAGAAGTCTCTGGTGAGACTGTAGCTCTACTGGTTTGTACTTCTAACAAAGGAAGAGAAAGGTAGCACTTGGACTTGAAACAAAGCAATAAATAGAAGGACGATTCTGCTTTAGTCTCTTTGTTTTGCAACTTTTTTTTTTTTTGCAATCTGACTAAATGTATAGGGGAAGTAGGGTTTTGAAAGAATTTCACAAAAATTTGTATTTTTAGTAACCATGGCAACACTTTTAATTAAAATAAAAACCAATACACAGAATTATGTATCTTATTGTCATCTTCTTGTGTACCAAGTAATTTCGAAATTAGGCCAAACCAGTAGGAGGGGTAGCATTTTGAAAGAATTTCAAAAGAAGCTATTTTAGTAACCATGGCAACAACATTCATTGAAATTAAAAACTTTTACACAGAATTATGTATCTTTTGTGTAATCTACTTGTGTACCAAGTAATGTTGAAATTGGACCAAAACTGTAGGAGGAATAGCATTTTGAAAGAATTTTAAAAAAAAAACTATTTTAGTAACCATGACAACAACATTCAAAAACTGCAGGAGGTTGTATTGTTTTGAATTTGCCTGAAACTTTTATTTTTAGTAACCATGGTATGGCCATTCATTGAAGTCAAAAACTGATAGACAGAATTATGTCGCCAATACAGTGTGGTCTACTTGTGTATCAAATTATATTGAAATTGGACAAAAACTCTAGGAAGACCAGCATTTTGAAAAATTGTTAAACAGACAGACAAACAGGCAGAGGGACAACAAATGCCTTACTATCACATAAACTCTTCTGTTGTCTGACCAGAAGAGCTAAAAATTAAGAAAATATTCATAAACAGTTCCTCTTGAGGGAGTCTATATTTGTATTCAAGTAGTACATTTTTTTGAAATTTTAAAATTTAACAACGATATTCATTTTTATTTCTTTTTCAGTTTCCAGAGCATGGTTTCTACAGTCTAGTGGACAAAATTTTATTATTTAGACATGACAACACAAGTTCCAATATTCTACAAATCATCACCAGCCCGGCGGATGTCAAGGAAGGTTGCCTTGTCGAGGTTGTTCTATCAGGTACGTGCCCCTTCTCTCAGACACTATATTTACCTCTGGATTGTTTCCTTGAGCAATTTTAGCCATTGTATGTAAACCCTGTCTTATCTTTTTAGCTTTTCATTTTGGGGGTGAAAATAATGGAAAACATTTTTTTTTCCATCAAGGAATAACTACTCACATATTTCCTGGTGACTTGATTCTTAAAACTTCAATTTTTTTTCTACTTTTAAAATTTGTTTTCTACACCAATTATGATTTTTAACTCACCTCAACGAAATTGGGGGAGCTTATGTAATACCCTCTGCGTCAGCATCCAAGGTTAAAGTTTTTGAAGCAGATTTCTTTTCAAGTACTTCTATGCCCTATATGAATCAGAGATGCATAAAGGATGCTTCTAGTATGTTTCATTGTACTAGCCAAGGTTTCAGATGCTGCAATTTCAGCTGAAGAATGACCAGGTTAATGTTTTTGGAGCAGGTTAAAGTTTTTTGGAGCATGTCTCATTTCCAAGTAACTATAAGCCCTATATTGACCAAACTTGCAGGGATGATACATCTAAGGATGCACACTACTGGACTTGCTTCGGATGCTGAATCTGACCTACATTTTCCAGATGAGTGACCAGGTTAAAGTTTTTTGGAGCAGGTCTCGTAACTGCAAGTCCTATTGACCAAAATTGAATAAATGTTACATCAAGGGATGCACACTACTAGATTATTAGTTTGGGACTTTTCCTTACTTAAAGACAACATTCGTTGAGGTGAGCTCTTAAATCTCTGATTACCTATAATTAGGATTATGGCTCAGAAAGCTATGTTATACATGTATCATTGAAAACATGTTGGCCTGAGGTGGTCCATTTCTATACAAAATGTTCTTTTGTAAGAAATGTGGCACTCATAAATGGAAATGCTCTCATTGTGTGTAGATTTATAAACAAAAGAGGCATAAAATTATGAACCAGAGTCATAAACATCCATTTATGATGATATGAAAATTTTCAGATCAAACTGACAGGAATTAGATCTACCAAATGTCAGATCCTCTTTGGACTTATTTTGTATCTTAAATATCTGTGTAAATGGACCCATTATGAGACAAGTTTTCACTAATTCAGTATTGACTTTTCCCCAAGTAATGCTTCATATAGCAGTTAAAAAATGAGAAAACAATAAATGTGACAATCAAATCTTTAATATATAAAAACTAAAAGTACTGCATCAAATATTGCACAAAAGAGAAAAGGTTAATTATGTATTTCTAAGACGTAATATCTTCAAGCATATGTGGGTGGGATATTGTTGTTAAACATCGGAACAGTCTATCTTTTCTCACTCTGTCTCTGGACACTTCAAAAGTTGTTGATACTACTTGTGTTACATGCTGTCACCATGGAGATGTGAAGAAACACTTTATTTTTTATCATGCATAGTTTCAGACTGAAAATTCTGGTCTTAATGGAGTACAGTGAGTTAAAGTATATGAGTATTACTATAGCGATAGCTTCCTATATGTCCAGCCAAACCTACAGTATCCAGTCCAAATTTTATCCATGAATCAAACATGCTTATATTCAGTCCAGATCAAGTCTTCTTGTATCCAGTACAGATTATTTACAATCAAAACTTCTTGTATCCAGTCCAGATTATGTACAATCAAATCATATTGTATCCAGTCCAGATTATGTACAATCAAGACTTCTTGTATCCAGTCCAGATAATGTACAATCAAGACTTCTTGTATCCAGTCCAGATTATGTACAATCCAGTCTTGATTATGTACAATAAAGACTTCTTGTACTTAGTCCAGATTATGTACAACCAAAACTTCGTGTATCCAGTCCAAATTGTGTACAATTAAAACTCCTTGTATCCAGTCTAGATTATGTACAATCCAGTCTATATTATGTACAGTCAAATCTTCTTGTATCCAGTCTAGATTATGTTTAATCAAAACTTCTTGTATCCAGTCTAGATTATGTACAATCCAGTCTAGATTATGTACAGTCAAAACTTCTTGTATCCAGTCTAGATTATGTACAGTCAAATCTTCTTGTATCCAGTCTAGATTATGTATAATCAAAACTTCCTGTATCCAGTCTAGATTATGTACAATCCAGTCTAGATTATGTATCCAGTCTAGATTATGTACAATCCAGTCTAGATTATGTACAATCCAGTCTAGATTATGTACAGTCAAATCTTCCTGTACCCAGTCTAGATTATGTACAGTCAAAACTTCTTGTATCCAGTCTAGATTATGTTTAATCAAAACTTCTTGTATCCAGTCTAGATTATGTATAATCAAATCTTCTTGTATCCAGTCTAGATTATGTACAATCCAGTCTAGATTATGTACAGTCAAATCTTCTTGTATCCAGTCTAGATTATGTTTAATCAAAACTTCTTGTATCCAGTCTAGATTATGTACAGTCAAATCTTCTTGTATCCAGTTTAGATAATGTACAGTCAAATCTTCTTGTATCCAGTGTAGATTATGTACAGTCAAAACTTCTTGTATCCAGTCTAGATTATGTACAGTCAAAATTTCTTGTATCCAGTCTAGATTATGTACAATCAAATCTTCTTGTATCCAGTCTAGATTATGTATAATCAAAACTTCTTGTATCCAGTCTAGATTATGTACAATCCAGTCTAGATTATGTACAATCCAGTCATCTTGTATCCAGTCCAGATCAGGGATGGGGTAATCGTAATCGAGTAATCGTAATCGATTGTAATGATTACTGTTTTTCAAGTAATAGACAGTAATCTGTAATCAAAGTGATTTTCGATTACTTGTAATCGTAATTTAATCGATTACAGCTAAAATTTTCAATGTAATTATAATTACTTTTTCGATTACTTCCGATTATTTTATACATAAATGGATTTTATTTTGGAGAATGATTTCCAGTCAGTCACACATAAATATCAAATATAAACCACCTAGTGTAATGTTTGGATTTCCTAACATTTCTTATCATAAGTTTAATAATGTTCTCAATAAAATTCGCATTATAGAACTACTGGTCTAGTATTAAATAATTCAGAAGTGTATTTCAACCATTTATTAATAAATATACAGATTTTTTTGTGTGCATTTTACATTTGACCGACTGTCCTCTTGCTGCATGTCCTTTTTCATATTTCAGATGTTGAAAAACTTTGTCTTGTAATAGAAAATTATAAATAGCAAAAACAGATTTAAGTGCTGTATAAAATATAAATAATTTGGTAAATAAACTACATTGTACTCGAAAAAAGAAGAAGATGGATATAATTACTCATACCTGAAAATGTTTAAACAACTTCAAACTGGTGTTTTAGTAACTTTAAAATTTGAAAAATCATTCTCATGTTTTCATTCAAAATTGTAAGGTTGCTTTTATATCAGTGAGAGCTAGGTTATGAGTGTCTGTAAGAGAGGGAGTAAGTGTCACTGTGTTTGCTTATCTTAATTGGCTTATTAATTGACTGAGACATATCCCTGATAGCAGATAATGAGGTGTAAACTGTGAACTACTTAGTGTTTAACTTTCCCCATTCCATTGAAGACAAACAATATTATTAAAAAAAATTAATAGCTCTCATAACACTTATTTCAATATATAATGAAATTGTGCTACATGTATTAGTTAAATTACTTAAAGACACATTTAATTTACATGTTCATTACTAAGAGTTCGTTCTAATTTACTTATTTTTTTTAAAAAAGACACGTACAGGAATGTTTAATATGTACTGTCAACAAACGGGCAGCCCAAAAATTTCTAATGAATAATTCACAATAAAATATTAAATAATTTTTTCAACAAGTCAATAAATAAGGAGGTTCGGATCCAAGGTTGAAAGGAATAATTAATTCCTTGGCATATTTTATTGTAGGAATCATGTCTCCACTTTCCATGGTAGAGAATCCCTCATTTGGGCATTTAGTGAGAATGTTAGCCAGAATAAAATCTTAAAAGGATCTGCACTGAAATTGGAGGAACACATTCAAACTTCAGTGGATAACATCAACATTTACCATTTAAATATTGCTTTGATATTTGAAGGGACAAAAACTTGAAAGTAATCGATTATTAATCGATTACATCTTCCAAAGTAATCAATTACAATCTATTACAGGAAAAAAATGAGTGTAATCGATTAATAATCGATTACACAAAATTCCTCCAAGTAATCGATTATTAATCGATTACTTTTTTCAGTAATCGTGCCCATCCCTGGTCCAGATTATGTTTAATCAAAACTTCTTGTATCCAGTCTAGATTATGTACAATCCAGTCTAGATTATGTATAGTCAAATCTTCTTGTATCCAGTCTAGATTATGTACAATCCAGTCTAGATTATGTACAGTCAAATCTTCTTGTATCCAGTCTAGATTATGTATAATCAAAACTTCTTGTATCCAGTTTAGAATATGCATAATTAAAATGCCTTATATCCAGTCCAGATTAAATCCAATAAAGATTTTCTTTTCTAATCTAGATTCATTTCAGCAGAGATTTTCAGTCCTCTTATTCCACTATGCTCCCCACAGACCCTTTGCAGATTATGCCACTGAACTATGGCCAACATGAGTGATGTCTTCTGGATACTAACAACAAATAATAATATTATTAATACTTTATTTACATAGACTGTAGTTTACTTCAAGGTTCTAGCCAATTATTGCCCAATCAGATGAAAGCTTTCAAACTGCAGTCTAATGTAGAATAATAAAACTATAAGGGAGTCAACATTTCATAGCCATAGTATTCTGAATGTCAAACCCCATCCCACTTTTAACAAATTTTAGGGGTCAACAATTTTATAGTCATATTTAACCCCCTCCCTTTATCCGTTTAATATGATGATCGAATTCAATATTTCCCAGTGATAATATAGTGCAAGACATGTCCTGATTCGTTGCATGCCAGAAGTTCTTGTTGCTTATCTTTTCTGGTGATCTGATGAATTTCATGGCCCCTGGGTAAGGTGTTCTGGTGTTAGGGTGGGGCTCTATTGATCAT